AATGAGACGGCCCTTTTCTTTCCGACCACCGTAAAAATGGATTTGGCAACATGGGCTTTCCTTTTTTTTTTTTTTTTTTCTTTTTCTTTTTCTTTTTTCTTTTATCGTATTGTCTTTTATGTATATGTACTAGTTAATTCAGTAATTTTTACTTTAGTTGCTTAATATAAACCATTTAATGTAAATCCCTCCTATGTAAACATTACAAAAATTTAATTAACAAAATATACATATATATATATATATATATATATATTATATTTAATACATAATAATTAAATTATAAATTTGTAAATTAAACTAATTTTTTAAGAAATAAAATAATTTATACTATCAATCAATTCTTTTTATTAATTTTTTTTTTTTTTAATTTTTACCACTTTAAACAAGATACTTTTAAAAATTCTATGGTATATTTTATATTTTTAGTTTTGTTAAGTAAGCTTTTCAATAAATATTTGAATCGATATATCCGCTTCTAATGCAGTAACAGATTGACATTCACTTTATAAATTATCATAAATTTCATGAATCATGGACCAATGAATTTATTATAACTCAAATAAAACTGTATTTTAATTCAATTTTGAATCTAATTTTATTATTAATTATCAAGTTCGCTTGATCAAATTTTTAATTTCAAGTTCAAAACTAATTTTTAAATTGACAATATACCATATCCTTTAGAATTGTTGTTGCTTGCAATTTGCGCATTAATTACATTAAAATACTATGCTCATAATTTGTTTATCATAGCCGAGTATGTGCATTATAATTTATATATATATATATATATAATTTATAATATTGTATTTTTTTTAATATAATGTGCCAATCCATTTTTGTATAAATTTATATAAAAATTTGAGAAGAATTTTCCGAAAATAGATACCCAACTAAAACAATTACAATCACTTATTCAAAAGCACATCATCTCTATTTTCATCTTGTAAACTATTTATTCTTTATTAAAAACAATGAACAGTTTTTTTCTATCTATACTCTCGAGCGCTTCTCTTTATTCTGATCCTCTTTTCTTATATTTTGTTATGCGAGTATTGGGGAATGTCTAGTTCCTCTTCCTTTTTCTGCATATATGTTTTTCTCACATTCTTTTGTATATATTTGGGTATGCATCACTTGCCCGTGTGTAAGAAGATTATGTGTGATTTCATATTTTTCATAGAAAGTTAACGCTGGCGTTATTTTACGTGATTTATTTTTCTATTTTTCTCTTTGTTCAGTTTTGATTAGGAATATTATATTCATATATTTAAAATTATGCGATATTTTAGAAATAATGATAATAAATTTGAGATTGAAATGGATATTTTTTTTACCTTATGTATGGATAAAAATTATATGGAAATTGAATCGTCAATTGAATTTATTTATCATTATCAGGCATAATTATGACTAGATTATGTTTTATAATAGTATTTAATTATTTTATATTTAATCGGTTTATATTATAATATATATATATATATATATATATATATATTAATGTATTAATATATATAAATATATTAATAATGCATAATTATATTGATATTTTTTATTCTTAAGTATATAGATTCTGTTTCCTAAATGTAGTTAAATGCCATATTTATGAATGGAATGTTAGAATAGCTTCATTTTTGATATAAAAAAAAATTAATTGAAATAAGGTAAAATTAATTTGAGAACGAGCGCTCTAAATATTTTTACTTTTACATAAGAATTATTTTATTGATTTTGAGGATGAAAATCTTATCTATAAACTTACTCTTTCTTAAATGTGAATAGCGTTTTGTGTTATACAACCATAACTTGTTCATTTTATTACACAGCATTCTTTTTTTTTTTTTACCATCGATTGTTTTAGAGCGTATTTGATTTTCCGCTCTTTCTTCTTTTATTTTCCTTCATGAAAAATCGAATGCACGTCTTTTCAATTTCCGGCCAGCAACTAGACTTCCTGAAAGCATCGACGCGCTGATATCGCTCGAACGCGAAAAATCCGCCTCCCGCGTTTCGGAGAATAAAAGAAGGATCCTGATTTTCGTACTCACTATGTGACTTAAAGTACACATTGCTATAAGAATAGTAAAGTTTTGTGAAGCCGAAATAAAAATATTCAATTTCAATTTGATTTTACGCTTTTCTAGGCGTATCTTATAGATTATTTTAGTGTTAGGCAAAGTAATTGATAAAATATTTTTATTAATCACTTTTTCGTAAGCAATCATTTATTTAATTTTAATAAATTTTTATAATTAACAGTTTTTTTTTATGATATTAAGAGTTATTAAAATCATTCAGATTAATTAGATTTACAATTTTCTTTCATATTATAATTCGTTTAATAGAGCAATATTAATGATTTTCAATATTTTTCAGCAAATTCCTAGTCATGGTAAATTTATATTTCAAACTGTTAAAATTAGCTGTATATTGTGAAAGAAAAATTAAATTTTTTACAAAGAGGAATCTTTAAGGGCATATAAAGTATATAATTTTGTTACTTTTTATGAAAACAAAAAAACGAAATTATCATTAAAAATCGATTCAATTAAAATTGAACTTTTTTGGTTCTTAATTTTTATATATTAATTTTATAAATTTTGTATATGCACGGTGGAAAATCATATTTTACGTTTATGTTTAATGTCGTGCTTAACATTATTCTTTGAAATAAAACTAATTATATATGATCAAAGTTTATCGTGTCATTATACTAGAGTACATTGTAATAGAGATAATGTATGAAAAACGTGTCATGGTACTTCATATATCTTTATAAATACGATAGTTTGGACAGCATTTATTAGTTGTAAATGATGAAAACCAATCGACTGTACAAATTAGAGAAAACGAGGGAAAGAATCAGATGAATAGATAAAGAAGAGAGCTTAGCTTGGCTAAATAAACACGTAACAGTGATTAAATATTCATACTTGGTAATAAAGACGACCCCAACATATAAATACTGTCGACGAGCTCTCACCCTTGTTCCGATATCGGCAATGCAACGCGGCTTAGACAGATCAAAAGAGAGAGAGAGAGAGAAGGGTGAATAGAAAATCATGGGAAGGTTGTGAGAGATCATGTATTTGTACGGTTAAAGATTTTCTTTAAATTTACAATCACTATAAAATTCCTATTCATAGAATATATTTGTCCTGTATAAGCAACTGGTCTATTACAATATAATTGTATAATTAAAAAATTTTAGCAACTTTAATTATACATGTTCATTTATGCTCAAATTGAAGATGAAAGAAAATTTTAGATTTCCAAATTATTGTATTTGATAATATAAAACATTAATTATATAATTAAATATAAAATATCTACCAAATTTTATAATACTAATTTTTAGTATCTTTTGATACATAGCAAAAAAAAAAAAATATATATATATATATATATATATACATTATAAACCATTCGTGCAAATTAATTATGTATAATTTTTACGAGTTCGTTCGTGGTAAAATTATACATTATTGCCATCCAATTTTTCATAATCTGAGCAAGAATGTTATTTACAAATACCCATTCTCTTTTAATATCAAAAACAAAATTTTTTTTTGAATTCATATATGTTTCATTCATTGTAAGACGTAATTCAATTTAATTAATACAAAAATTCATATTGCCGGCTATAAGCAATAGGGAGAAAGGTAGTATGTTAGTAGGAAAAAAATAAAGTAAAGGAGATTACCTGCCAAAAACTTTACAGCTTATGCAACAATGTATAGTATTATGAACTAGTTGAGTAATCCCCAGCATACCCTCCTTTATTCATTCTATATCTCTTTTTTCTTTTCCTATGTATCTCCCTGCGAAATACTCTAACGCAATAATTTCATTCTCAAGTATTCGTTCGTACTAAAGTGCAATTAGCGCAGACAAAAAACTTCTATTCAAAGTGACTGCCTCGTAGCATGCATGAATCGATCAATTGAACGGTGATTGTCACTTCTTGTTTAAATCACTTTATAAAGAGATTTATTATTATGAATTTTTCTCTTTTTGAAATCGTATTATTTTTATATATGTACTGTGAAAAGAAAGTTTTTGATTTTCCGAGAACTTTATTATTGTAATTCAATTATATTCATGGTTTTATGTAGATGATTTATTAAAATATTTAGAATACATATTATTCATAATTATATAAAATCCTAATGCCCTTTTCTCGAAGAGTTAAAAACAAAAAGATATAAAAGAATGGTAATTAATTTTTTAAAATTTGCTTTATATGAAATTAGCGAAGCTATTAATTTTCTAATTAAAGCCAAAAAATTATGTACTTAAAAAAAAATTATTACATTCTCTGTAAAATAAATGTAGAAGAAAATGCAAATGATAATCATATTGTGAAATTTCTATTAGAATTTATTAAAAAATAAATAATAGCAGAATTTTATATAAACAAGAATATTAAACGAAACAGATAATAAATTTTCTTCTAGAACTTTCGGTATAAAAAGAAACTTTCAATTATTATTATATAAAATCATTTTCTAAAGATTAAACGATATTAGAATAAATTATTGGAATAATGGCTTCGAACAAAATAATTATAAAATATTTTGTTTAATCTTCGACCAATCGAAACGATACTATAATATTAATTTAATTTGTGAACAATTTATTTTATATAATTATGCAATTGTAACGTTTTAAAAATTTAACAAGAATTTTGAGTTTATATTGTAAAACAAATTTAGCACGAAATTTAATTTATAAAGTTATATAACTGATGATATTTTTCGATAGAAATAATGAATTTTAATTTATTAGAATCAATATTAATGCATCAAACAGTTATTTCGTTATTATATCTTTTGTTAAGTGCCTTTATTCTTTCACTATAACTTTTCTAATTACATTTTTTTCGAACTTTTCGAATTCTATTTTCAACTATTTATTATTAAATTTAAAACATTAAGAATATTATATTTTAATAATCAAATATTATTCTATTAATATAGAAAACTAAATAATACCTTAATCGTTTAGCTTCATCAATGAAAGGTCGTTTTTCACCTTCACTAAGTAATTTCCATTCGGCGCCCAGTCTTTTTGAAATTTCGGAATTGTGCATTTTTGGATTTTCTTGAGCCATTTTTCGCCGCTGACCGCGTGACCAAACCATAAACGCATTCATGGGACGTTTAATGTGTTCGTTATGCAGCGTTTTTGAAGACATTGTATCACTTTTTTACGTTTTAAATTATTTTTTATTTTAATGCTTCGTTAATAGTTAATACTAAAATAACAATACAATTTTCACGTTCATTTTTTTTTATAATTTTTACACGAAGTTAACACTTAATTTACACATTCTCATATCCGTGTCTTCTTTTACATTTCACTGAAACTATTTAATCATTTATACAAAATCCTTCTATTCTCATTATCATATTCTAATTTGATTTTTAACTTTTCAGTGATCTTAATTTTCAACTTGCATAACAACTTTCGCCTTCTGCTGAAAATATAAGATGACATAAAAATTGGTTTAATACGGACAATAAACTATATTAATTATATTACGGTTATATTTAAATATTAAGATTAATAATTTGTTTAATTGACATTTATCATAAACAATATGACTCTTATTATTAATATTATAACAATAACGGATACCTTAATTATATTTTTATGTATATAATAAGTGATTTATACTTTAACATCTTATAAATATACAATGTTAGTTTAATTATAAATATTTTTTCATATTTAGGATAAATTTTTAATAATAATACGTTTTGCTATTATATAAATTTATTTTAAATTGTATTTTAAATGGAGTTTTGTATAAACATATTTTAATAATATAATAATGTATAACATGATCACGAAAAATCTTATCATTGCATGAGTGGACATTAAAATAAAATTTTTTTTTAGTATTTTATTAAAAATATACATTTTTATAGATTATTTTATGATGGCAATGAAATTTGAAATACGTTGATATTATTTATAAAAAATGAAGTGTAGTACATCTTTTCAAATTTTATTCAATAATGGTAATTTCATCAATTGTTTTGATTGTGAGGGAAACAAATGGATGCTTAATAATAGACAATTATTAATATATTTTTAAACTATATTGGGCAAAATTCCTAATTTCTTAAATTAGTAATAAACTAATGACAACGAATAGTAAAATATGTAGATGTTCATATTTTCTCTCTTTGTACTTATGTTTAAATGGCTCTTTATTATATTACAAAGTAATGTTCAGAAGAAATTTATTTTTAATTGGGAGATATATTTTCATCACATGTGTTCACATTAAACTCAGCTTTTCCTACATTAAATAGTTATCGTGCCATTTGCCGTTTGAACTTATATTTAATAAATTATGATTTACAAAAATGAAAAACTAATATATTATTATTCTTGTTCTCATTGTATAAATATAAACTTTTCTGCTGCATTTGCATAGAAATTTTGTAGTGTCAGGATTCTATGGGATATCGTTACAATATAAAAATAATTTAAATATAAAAATATAATTTAAAAGAAAAGGCGCTTTTTGCCGTTCATCACATAAATACAAGACATATTTAATGACTTCACTGAATGTTCTTTCAATGTAAATAGCTTAATCACTCAAATTATTATTGATTTTTCACAGAACATATTTCATGAAATATTTAATCCTAATTCAGGTGTATTTAAAGACTATTATTAAAATGAGCGAAGCACCGAATGATTAAATAAATATTTACCTCTAGCACTGAATTGATAATCACCGTATCAACAATTGCACAGGTCCATTGAACAACAATCCGACAACGATTCACTTCTAACTCGCGCAGCGTGTACGAGTGTCGCTCGAGAATAGGTTCGTAGGTTCGTATTAAAAATCTAGAAATGCAGTGCTCTCGACATTAGTCGTGAGAGGATCGAAGAAGAGAAGAAGCAGGACGAGGCCGAGACCGACAAGGAAAAGACGGGAGCTCACAGCGCTATGCGGCTTCTATCGCGCGCGCGTTTCTTCGAGATCCTCGGGAGGGGTTAGTAAGCACCCGGGTGGGGGTGGCGCGGACCAATGGGCGACGCCTCCCTTTAGGAGCGCCCATTGGTCGGTGGAACGGCATGGCGGCCGGCGGCATTGCGGGGAGGGCGCCAGCAACAGGTGGTGTTATCTAACTGATAGTACAGGAGACTGCGCTGTCCTTCTGGTGCCGGGAGTACGCTAGGGACGATAGATGGGAAATTGAGCTAATTGTGGATGTGGATGGGTGTGATCGCTTTTTCCACTGTTACGATACCACTGTTCCGTACCCTTCAATTCAATGGTTTTCTTGTGCACATTAGTACCGGGCGATTTTATTTAATAAGTTTTCTGCTTAAATTGTCTATGCGTTGTCCGGCAAAATAGTATGGAATTAAACGGCAAAGTTTAACTGTATTAGAGAACATAAGACTTAATGGGAATTAAAGATAATGAAATTTATTCAGATTAAGGAAAAGAGGTTTTGATGGAAAATTATAGAAAATAAAAGTTAATTTTACGAGAGTTAAATTCAATTAAAAATGAAGAAATATCATTTCAATATTATTGAATATAATGAACTTGTGTGAAGTAAATTTTCATTTAAAGTTGTAAAGATAGGTTTGTCGCAAAGTTTAATCGTCATTTATTTTAAGGAGTGTGTTAATCAATTAATTCTAACGAAAGTTCTTATCGCGGAAATAGTTGCTACAGTTATTACGAGGATTTAACAGTTTTAAAAGCAACCGCGATAAAATTCATTTTTATGTAGAATTACTTTACACCATTCATTTATACGACGAAATAAATAATTAGATTAAAATATTTTCATAATTTCAGCTACATGCCGTTGTACTTATTATTGCAATTAAATAAAAAAAATCATATAAATTAGAAATAGGAAAATTATTATAAAAATTATATACATTTTTCTAATATATACATTAATAGATATAAAATGATACTGTTTGACATCAAATTCTCTTAATTAATTATAATCTAATGATTTAATGTGCATGTCCTTATTAATAAGAAAATTATAAAGAAAAGTTATATAAAGTATCGAATATATCTGCATTTTATTAAATTTCACAATTGCTCGTATGAAGTGTAATTGAATTTAATGAAGGAGTATTGAAAAATTGAATTAATTAAGAATTTTAATTTACTTTATTAATCATCCAATCCCCACTCCTTACATAAATATTCTTAATAATGTTCATATATATATGTAATATGCAATTTTTTAATAGCACATATTTTTCTCTTAATATTATTACCAAAAACATATAGTGTAAATAATATTTCTTGTTATTAAATCATAAAATCTTAAAATTCATGTCTTAAATCTTATTTCACGCAGTGTAAATGTTAATAATTATAATTATAATTCTATATTTTTAAAAGTTTCTGGATGTTTTTATAAATGTCGACATTGATGATAAATTGTAATTGCAACTTTATTCAAGTTCTTAAAGTAAAGATTCAGATTACTTTTTAAATTCTTCTATTTTCCTCAATGACATTTATGATCTCAATATATTAGCAAAATTATTGTATTCGATTATTGTAAGTTACAAATCAAATATGAAAATTCACACGATAACAATCTGTTTTTAGAGGTATATCAAGAAAACAGATCAGTCTCAATTATACTTTATATTTTTCATTGACAGTCTCGATAATCCCCAATGGTAATATCCCTAAAGCTTCTTACTCGATTCATCGTGGATCGATGTAGGGGTGCAGTGGTTATCCTTCTGATACGCAACGCGTAATAAGTTTTTTCTACGAGGCGAGTCGAGCAGCAACAAAGGCACTTCGAGGAGGTCCTGCAACTCACATGTGCCATGTTGGCTTTGAGTGATAGGACGTAAAGCAGCAGGAAGAGGATAGGCACGCACCGATAAGGCGATTCAACCGTGCACACGATCTCGGGGTGTATGGGGGTGGCGGGTGAGTGGGAGAGGGAATAGAAGCGGACAGGCAGGAAAGAGGATGAAATACCGTGTGCGTACGCCATGCGAACGAAGAATTGTACGAAGGAAGCGATGTGTCCCATGTGCGCGTTGTGCAAAATCGTGGAACACAAATCATTAGTTTTCGATAACAAAAGATACGATTCTCAACTTCAAGTACTTTCTAATTGTTAGAAAGGTACGTAGTGTGAAAGCTGTTGTTAACAAGCTCTTAATTTGCTTTCATAATACAAAAATGTATACAATTTAAATAAATTGTTTGTGATTTGACATAACCATTTTAATTCATAACAATTATACACAAATATATAATTAACATTTATTTAAACAAATGTGAATATTCATAATTTTCTTTTGCATTTTAAGGTTAAATATTTTACTCGTAAGTGTTTATTGCAAATTTATTTATTGCAAAATGTGCGACAAAGAAATAACGAGAAGCTAATTAAAAAAACAAAATCTTTATTTTAAAACCAATAAAACTAACCATATATGTCTTTATTATTTTTTTTTTTTTTTTTTTTGTTATAAGCTCTCATAATTATCAATAATAAGCAAAAAGTCGACGAATTATCAACTATATGGTCACGACTTTTAATTCCGTAAGGTTTACCGTTCTGCAATTGTATTTTCTTTTACAAAAAACTTTCATATTTTGTAAATTAGAATTCCCGTTAATTATTCATATAATATATTGTAAAACTACAAATTAATATCATCATTCAAAGTAATGTCTTTAAAAAAATTAATGCTAATATTGACATATTTATCAATTTCAAATCAGTTTGGAAAGAAATTAAAGACTTTTATTTTAAGAGTGATTCCGTATGTAATTATGCTCTATTTAAAATATTTAAATTTATCTATTTAAAATTATGCTTTGTTTCATTAAAAAATACATTATATATAAGACAAAAATATATTATCTTTAAGATAAAATTATAATCTAATAAAATCTTAATAATTAATAATTAATGCTACACTAACACACAAAAACTACACATAGCACATATAACTACATAAGAATAATGTATTGCAAATATAAAAAAAATATTTGTATATATATAAGAAAATTGTTTACTATTTAATATAATAAGAACAAAATATACATAGATAAAGTATATTACCATAAATAAAATTAAATTGCCAATACTTTCCGACTACTATTAAATATATTAATAGTACATGATTATAATAGAATTGTAGGTTTAATAGTTTAAAAAATAATTTTAAAATGGTGTCAAACAAGTAAGTACGTGTATAGTTAATATATAATTTAAAAGAATGCGTTATTATATATGCGTAATTACTTATTTTATTTATAGATATTTTAATTAGGAAAAATTATTAAAACCATTCGTAATATGTATTTTTAACATTGAACATAAAAAAATATAGAAAATTTTTACAACAACATTTAAGATAATGTTAATTAATACTTTATCAATGACTATTTGAAGTTATTATTATATATTTTTGTCATTGTTAATAGTTTTTTTTTTTTTATCAAATAAATTGATTATATTGTTTTACAATACATTTTTATATCTGGTTAAATACTTACTAAATTGTAGTGATATCACATCAATATAAATGTGTAACATTTATCAATTATATCTATGAACATTTTTCTTTCAGAAAATTATTTAAATTCTTCATAAATAATAACATGAATGAACATATGTATAAATAATAAATTACAATAAAATTTTTTTCTACAATATATGTATTCTATAATGCATACACTTAGTGAATGTCGAATAAATTAAAATAAGTATTATATTTTCTATTTTGTAAACGCAATTTTTATTCTGTACAATGTTATCTATATAATTTTTATCATCTCTTAGAGTACAAAATAATTTAAGCAAATGTTATAAGCATATTTATAAAAGTAATTGACAATTAGATAATTAGTAATTATTAATGTATAAATATTTATTGAATTATATAGAAATTATTTTGAAGTAAAATTTAATATTTTTATATATTTTAACGTTCCCTTTTGTCGATGGTTTAATAGATAAAAATATTAAACTTTTACAGGCAGTTTCAGCTTTGTTATCGTTAGTTAAGTGCTATATTTAATTAATAATAACTGATCTAATGAAATCGAGATAAGGATAAATTCTTATATATATATTGGGTATATTTCCAGAAGATGGCTCAATAGAAGATGCGATACCAATAAATTCATTAGCGGTACTTAACAAAGGACCTCCACGATCACCCTAGAATATGGTATAAAAATTAATCAATTACAATTTTTTGGTTAATCTGTAATATAACTAATTTTTGTTTTGTTTTTTTTTTGTTTTTTTTTTGTTTTTTTTTTTTGTTTTTATTACATGTAGTAATATTGTTATAAAATATTAAATTATTACAAATACAGGACAATTGAAAATTGGATTATCATTTTTTTCAATTAATATACGAATATTGAATTTATTTTTCAATTTTGAAGGAAACTAGATATTTATAATTCCAGTGCGTTTCACTTTATTGTTTCGTTCAAGAAAAACTGTACTTAAGTAAGTAAGTTGTGCAATTTTAATTGTATCTATCTAAATTCCTAAAATAATTGAATTAAAATTTCGACATTTCTGCATATTAGTTTTGAAATTTTTTTTCCTTCCTAATGTTATAATTACTGAGATAAAAAAGAAAAGTTAAATATATCTAAACACGCAGAATATATGTAAAATTAAGTGTAACATTAAATATTTTATTAATTTTACTAGTTCTTATGCTCGTGTACATGATATAAATAAGCATCGGTTAAACGCAGATTTTAGCTTTGCTTTTATTTATTTTTTACAACTACATAATATAAAATAAAAATATTAATAAAAAATATTTTTGATATTATTTTGTAATATTAAGGAAAAGTCATATATATTTATATATATATATATATATATATCTATAAAAACAGCATTTAACCACTATGAACATAATAATGTTGTAAAATAATAATATTTTTTATATAAAACTTACAAAGTTGGCGCTGACTTCTTCAGAGGTAGAAATACATATCAAATTTCTATGAATTTCAACCCCACGAATGCGTGAACAGTCATCATTAGAAATGGTTTTTGTCAAACCCTTTCGTAACAACAATGAAATAGTGCTAAAGGGAAAAGATGTTAGGCCCCATCCGAGGATTATACAATTAATACCATCTGGTAAATGTTTAACTGGAAGGCGTAACTTGGATTGAACCTGATCAAATTGTATATGACCCTTGAGCTGCAAAGTAAACATTTCCTTTTTCACAAATAGTTGATAAATATGTTTCAAAACGTTACTTACTTCACTATTCTTTATGATTATTTAAATAAAAAATTTTTTTTCCATTTTATTTTTTCTTATTTTTTTATAATTGTTATATTACAATTATATTTATTTTCTATAAAACTATACAAATCAATAAATAACGAATAGACATGAATTATTGTTATTTCTTACAGAAATGATCTTGTTTTCACCATAGTTCAATTTGCAATTGTCAATAGTCATAATTATATCAGAATATTGTCAAAAATTTTATATATTATAGACATTGGACTATATGCAGAAGATATGATTTCATTAGAATTATTTCTAATGATAAAGAGAAAGTGTACGGTTATTTACCTTTATTACACCGAAATCATGCAGCTTTATCGTAGTTGTGTCATCCTCCGTAAAATCGGGATGAATGAAGAGCAAGTCGATTTGATACGTTGGACCGTAGATACTTTTTGAACTAGTACTCCCTGTCTTAATAACAACTTTATCATTCTGAGTCTTTTTAATACAAACAGCTGATGTGAGAATGTGATAGTTACTTATAATTACACCACCACATATAAGCTCTCCAGTTTTTTCGATCCTCAAGAATGCCATAAAAGGATACTCCACTATATTTACGATTTCACCACCAATGATCCTCGAATTTTTACACAAAATTGCTGAAAACACTGGAACGATTTTCATATACACAAAGTGTATTAGATATCAATATTTTACGTTTATTAATATTGTAAAAAGCAAATACATTAAGCACTCTATGACTTAAGGTGAATGCTAATTGGTTTGTATGAAATAATTTCATAATCTATGAAATATATAAATATTTTCCGAATTTAATATACAATTATTATGTCTTATATTGGAGTTTAGTAGTACCATGTGACAAACTAAATTTATTGTTAACGTAATTTTAAAGTGTATTTATCACAATATACTTTATGAAGAAGTTTGGAGAGCTACCTTTTAAGGTAGCCTACACGAATTTCATACGAAGATAAATTAAAACACTATATATTTATTACGCATTAATTATATCATTATAAATTAAAATTTTTGTTAACTTACCAGTCATTAGTGCTAATAAAAAATACATGGCTGTTGAAGAATTCATTTCGAAATTTTTTTCAAAGAATCAACCAAGAATTAGTAAATGGTATATATATATATATATATATATATATATATATATATATGTATATGTTAATTCAAAAATAAATATCTAAATTACATATCTTGCCTAAAATCACAATTATTATTAAACGATATAAGCCACTATTAATATTAGCTAATGTAGAATATCTATGATGAATTTCAATACGTAGCCCTATATTGATAATTTCATATATCATTTCTCATATCTATGTTAAAGTCTTATTGTTTTGTTAATCATAAACTAATAAGTATTTTAAATTACAATAATATTTTAACCAATATACATTTTTGCATTGTTTATATAGCTGAAATGTTTTACGTTGAGAGTACATTTAATGGTTAAGAAATTTGAATCGTTAGAAGTAAAAGAAAACACATGATATATTGTATCAATATTTTTAATCAAAATATCAGAACATAAATTAAAATATTGTTCGGCTATTTGTGCTTTGAACAATTATAATTAAAAATAATTGATACTAAATTGTTAATTCAAATTCATTTAAAGTATTTTTAATCTACTTTTTCCGAGACTACTATATTTCAATACAATAATTTGTTAAAATTTTATGACACTGTTTCTCTAGAACTAAGTTTTTAAATATTATTTTGTTAATATTATTTCGTAGTGTATTAGCATTTATCAGAATATTATTATAATTATTATATAAAAAAAAAAAAAAAAATTAATTTTACTTAAATAATGCTTGATATTGAAGTTATATATATATAACTTTAATATCCAGCATTATTTAAGTAAAATTAATTATATATATATATTTTTTTTTTTCCATCAAGTGGAATAATAAAAATTAGGTTATTTTTTCATATATATATATATATATATATATATAATATTCATTCATGTAATTTAATTAATTAATTAAATTTCTTTATTAAATACAAAGATTGAATTTTATAAAGAAACAATAATCAAACATTTTTATCTGTATTTTAAAAGCATTTTAATCTGGTTATTCTTATGTACATTATTTCTTATCTTTCTCGTCGTTTGAACAAACTACACAAACTTTATGCTGTGATTCTATTAAGTCTCGGTCTCTTATTTTAATTACATACAACTATTAATTCACTGATGAATAAATAAAAAAATTAAAGCAAATGGGTTTACTTTGAACTTTAACCCATAAAGGAAAATAAGCCTTTTTGTGTTCGTGTTATTATCGTTTAGTTTATCGTGAAAGAATTAAATGTGAAATGTAGATGAAAAAAAAATTGATCGTTATTTTTGTCTATATATTTGAAATCTGATTTGTAAAACTCCTGACTGGACTTTGACACTTTTTAGTAGTGGCGCGGGTATAATTAAATTAACAGGCAAAACAGATTTTACATTCTTTATACTCATGAAAGTGTTTGTAACGAAAATGATTATTTTCTTTTTTGTTTGTATATTTTTTTTTTTTTTTTTGTGCATTATACTTATTTATAATGCTTTGATTAAATAATTATATCGAAGAAATAAAAATTAAATACATTAGTTATATGTTTTACGAAATACATATTATAAGAAACAATATAACATTTTCATTATAATTAGAGAAATCTTAAAGAAAAAAACTCTTTCAAAACATTAACTAAATTAACATTAACAGAAATTATCCTATCAGCATCTTATATTCTTTAATTTTTAAGTGAACATATGCCTCGACATATCTATACATGCACGATGAGCTTGAATGGTAAATAATTTTCTGCTAGAAAATCATTTAATCAAATACAGAGTAAAGTCCATCAACCAGCAATAGTACTTTATGTGACACCTTTCGTAATAATAATACTTATAGCATGTAGCCCTCGCGATCCTCGCGGTCCGATAAAATTGGCATCAATTAGCAGTGCGGTGCGACGAAGTATCCCCTATCGGATCGAGTCTATAACAAAGCGAGCGAAGCGTATTAAAAGCGAGAGAAAGAGCCGTGAAATAGGCTAAAGAGGTAGGGGGTCGAAGCATATAAACGACTGGGCGTTCGGGAAAAAGAGGGAGTCGTGCTTTCGCCTTTCGCCATCTCGATAAGGATCCGTTCGCGACGATCCTCGCTGGGGGGTGTTTTTGGGTGTAAGAGCGCGTGCCTGGGACGATAGTCATGCGGAATTTATTGTGCCAAAAGAGGGCGGATGCCTAGATATAGTCTAGTCAGTATTATATAACTGAATGGTTTTGATTTTGTGTGTCGCACTTTTCTGATGCTGCGCTTCTAAGGCATAAATTTCTTTTATAATGCAAGGTACTAATATTTCGATATTAAGCGAGTTAATAATATTCAGCATTTCAAACTAAGCATGGAAATTTATTTCTTGGATAAATTATTTACACGTACTTATTTTTTATTTTCATCAGTTTTTCATAAACATGTAACTCTCTAACGATCATGATTTTAATAGAGAAATGATAATTTCGCTTAACAAAGAGTCTTAACTTATTAATTTAATAAATAAATTCTTGATTTGTGAATTCAATAATTGTTTAAAAAGCTATACCGAATTATCTATTTAACATATACTTTTTAATATACACTATTTAATATATACATATTGCTTTTATAGGTTTCATCTAATAGAATATTCTTGAATTTTTGAGTATATTTAATTTCAATTTCAATAGTGCATATAAATTGTTTATTACCAATATATATTGTTTAATAATACATAAATATTTTCAAAGGGATATTTTAATTGCATTTCACGTGATCATTAACAGCATTTATAAGTTGATTTAAATTTATATTACTAGCAAACGCTAACGTCTATTTAAAAATATAATTTTACTTTAATGAATTTTAAACAAGCATTTTTACTGATACCAACTATACCAATTAATTACTCATTTGTAATAATAAAAAACAAGAACTAATTAATTATTGTATCAACAAGTCATCATTGTTATAACAGAAATCAATTATATTGCTCTACTGATACCGAATGTGCTAATAATATGTATTAGCATTGAAATATTTATTTTTATTTTGTATATTTATTCATCGAATCTTACGAATAACTCAGTGATTTTAATATACATTATAAAATTTAACGAATATTTATAGTAATTAATGATAATATTTTACAATACATTAGTTTTGTTAACGATGATAATAGAGAAAGTACTGAATAGAGAATTTAGAAGAACATTAAAGAGATATAATTTATAAGATTCATTTAAGATTCTTTTATTAATGCACCATTATCAGTTGACTTTAGTTCGCAAATTTCTCATCATTGTTTGTCTTTTACCAATAATGCCCGTCACCAGCTGACATATTTTTACAACTATTAAGAAAATTCAGTGATCTATAACAAACAAGGGACAAACTATAAATGTGTAAAAGTGAAAAAGCGTGAAGAAAGAAAGTCGGGACAGCATACGACCACTGATTATACCATTCATCGGGTGCGGTCCGGTTCCCTCTCTAAAAACGAGGGTGCCGAGATAGATAGATAGATAGATAGATAGATAGATAGAGAACGGGAGAGAGAGAGAGAGAGAGAGAGAGAGAGTTGGGAGATATAAAGTAAGAGGGTGAGATTTGGGGATTTGGAGGGTAGAAACGGGAGGGGGCGTGAATACACGCTCATCAATGGAACAATTCTGCGAGGCGCCTTTTCGTTAGCTTTCGAACAGTGTTGGGGGCTCTCCTTTCGATAACTCTTGTGTCGCGCCTACCATTGTTCAGTACTTTATAACGATTGTGGCCGGATCGTTTTCGGAGCGCTTGTGATTTCAAACTAGTTCATATACTTCGCGGGAAAAGAGACTTCATTTTTTTCGTGTAACGATTATGTGTCGTTCGATCATTACTAATCCAATGTTATTCCTTTATATATTTTGTTACTAATTCAAGTTTTAAGGATCTTGAATTTTTTATACTATTTTCTTTTATGAAGGAACAATCTCATTAGCTTAATGTTAATTCATTTACTAGGCCAAAATCATTATTAATTAATGAGAATGTTAGTATCGAGAGAAGACAGTATGTAAACAATAATAATAATAATAATAATAATAATAATAATAATAATAATAATAATAATAATAATGATAATAATAATAATGATGATGATGATGATTATGATGATGATGATGATATGATGATGA